TATCTCGACCAAATATTGTCCTAGCCTAACAAACCATACATCAATGGCAAGCTTATTTATTCATCTTTCAGATGATGTATAAATCTCAATTTTGAAAAATTGACACTTAAGACTGGTTTTGTGGTCCAGGGTCACAAATAATATTTACAGACGTTTTTTTTTTAATATTTATAATAACTTTTGTATGTAAATGGTCTTTATTCCAGATCCTCTTGTTTGCGTTCCTGAAAGTGATCGAGGAAGGCAGTCACATGGTGATGATGGAGTGTCCCGAGACGGTCAACACGCTCCTGCACGAGTTCTTCCTCTGGGAACCTGACAATTCCAAAAAGGACACGGTTACCACGGTAACAGCCGACGAGGCCACAGCCGTCCAGACGCTCGCCGTCAGCACAGGGACGCCCAAGGTCAACAAGCCCCTTAACAAGTAACCTGATGATTGACGTTTTCGGGGTGAACCAATCAGAAGGCTGTTGATGGCAGGCTGTCAAACCGTCACCTTGGCTGAGAGCTGGTTTTTGGTCAGAAGGCCCGAGCGGGTGTCCAGACGGGGGTGAGAAAGATTTACAGGTTCGAAGAGACTCTCTAGCGGTGAGGGAAAAGCAGCAGCTGGTTTTAAACCAACGATGGTGGTTTATGACATCACAACGCCTTTGTTTCTCTATGCTACCTTTGGACAATATCTTTCCTTCTTGTGCTGTCTAAAGAAAAGGACTGATGAAAATCAAGTGTGTCCAAGTCCAGACGGGACTGAACTACGAGAAAGAGGAGGAGAATTTGCTGAGGTTGCTTTTAAAAAACCCAAGAGAGTGTTTAAAGTCAACATGAAACCCATTTTACTTCCATAATATGACACATTGGGCGTAGTACAAGTACAATTACGAAAAACAGCAGTTGCGTTAAAAATAATGAGGACTAATTAATTGTGATGGGAAAATAACAGGGTTGTTTTCATGCTGACTTTAAAGGACGTTTGTACAAAATCTGTGTTCACGTCAAACTAGTACTAACACGTTTTAACGTCTTCCCTCATAAATCAAATCCACTGCTTGGAGTTGAAGTGCGATTGAAAACAGATGTATGAGACACTCAGTCCTGATAAACCATCTTAAAAAGATAACGTACTGTAAACGAACACACACATTTAACTTGAAACAAATCATTCGAGTTAAAAAAAACAAAACAACAGATGTCGGTTCACATGAAGGATAAAAGCGAGACGAGCGAAAACATTGACCGCCGCAATGGGAAATTTTATGCACTTGTTCGTCTCCTAGCAACTAGAAAGTCGGGCATTAGAACAAATGCACGGTGAGAGAGAGAGATATAATGATGCTGCTGGCCACAACATGACACGGTGCTGAGGAAAAACAGGATATAAGCTACAGTATCACAGAGCAGATTGCATACAAATCTGAATTTAATATTGAAATGATATTGTGAATATCTAGTCATCAGGTTGATCCAATCATGTGCAATTATGCTCTACTGTACGAGGACAGACCGTCTGTCTATGCAAAGAATAACGGGGGGCTTCTGCATGCATCCGGCCGGTTACCATGAAAACAGCTAGTCAAAGGCAAACTGGATGAAGGATCTAACCCTCCATCACTGGAGATAATTAACAAAGACATCATGAGATCTCTGCAGGCTCCTCACGTTTATGCAATGAAAGCAGTCAAACATCACACATCATAGCAGATCAATTGGAGAAATTGTCAGGTTTTTAGGTAACTTAAAATCCCACTGATTATTTTACAAACTGTAGTTGCTTTTAACTAATAATTAATAAGAGAAAGGCAATTCAAACGTCCTGATATCAGAACTGCCTTCAAAAACAACTTTAAAAACAGAATTAAAAAACAGACTTTCATGTGCATGATTGCAGTTCAAAAGACTGGAGTCAGTAATATTTGATTTTTAAAATGAAATGAATACTTTTATTCAGCAAGGACACGGAAATCTTTACATTATAAACATCTTTACTGTCATTTTTGATCAATTTAATATTTCAATTAAATGCTGTTCTTTTGAACTTTCTATTAATCAAAGAATCCTGAAAAATTTTTATCCATTTCCACAAAGTACATTGATAATAATCAGAAACGTTTTTTTGAGCAGCAAATCAGCATATTAGAATGATTTCTGAAAGATCATGTGTATAATAATATTTCACAATGTTACTGTTTTTTACTGTATTCCTGATCAAATAAATGCAGTCTTGGTGACTTTTCAAAAACATAAAAATAAAAACTTACAGGCTCCAACTGTTGAAAGCTAGCATAACTGTTAATTCCCATTTCAACAACAACAAAATTATGCATTACAACAATAAAATACGCAGACTTAATTCTCACAATCCAACTACTAATAATAACTGAACACACGTCCTTCAGGAAGGAAATTGACACTTTTTTTGGATGTGCTAAGAAATGTAGACCTTGATTTATTTAACACGCTATGTGAATGATATAAGAATTGAAGATATCTAAAGGAAAAGCTGTGGACTGAATTGTGAGTGAATGAGTTTTTCTACAGTGATTACAGCTGGATGCCGGTGTTTAACATCAATCCCAAACTGACTTTCACACGATATGAATTTTATTGAGCCACTCCTGTGAATTAGAAAACAAAAAACAGTGTTTTTGACAAAAACTGTACTACCTTCTAGATAAAACAGCATATTTTTCATTCGTGTAAATGAACAGTATATGCATATCCCTTTTGGATTTATCTGGCCTTATCAAAGGGATGGAAATGATTTCTCTGACATTTGATTGGAGGAAGGATCACTGACAATTTTAGAGAGTTTGTAGCTACATGGTTTTAACATCATAAAGAAAATATATCCCAAAGATTTCATGTCTACTAAGCATCACTATTTATGATTGACTGAGAAAAAAATTTTAAATAAAAAATTCCACAGAGACTGTTAGGCCAGTATGTAACCACCTAGCAACCATGCAATACACCCTAGCAACCATGTAGCAACATTCTAAAAAACTTATAACATTCAGAGCATAACAACGCCCCTGGAAACCACCCATGTTGAGTTTACAATGTAACAGTTGCGTAACATTCTAGGTGGACGGATCTGACATTTGAAATTCCTTGTTTCTAATTCACAGACGGGAGCAATAAGACTTTTCTATGCTAATGGCAGTTCTGGCTTTCCTCTGAGCGCCTGGGAGTGTGTTTTCAGAAGAGACAAGAAACAATAAAATGAAACACAATAAACGAACAATACTGGCCAATACTGTTAAAAAAACTGCCAAAGGGAGTGAAAACGAGTCAGATGGACTAATACTTTTGGAGCGCGTGAGTGAAGTGGGTTTGGGGGAGATGAATATTATGTACAGATGCTGAATGACACTAATGACGGATGATGATGAAGAAGAACTCTTCTTCCTCTGGTCGTGTACTGATGTCAGTACCCCATTGTGAACATTGTGGTTCAGTTTGTGTCAAATGTGTGTGTTGCATATATCTATTGGAATGTACTATACCATGCACTGCCTGAAAATGTGTGCATATAAAATGTCATGAAAACTATATAAAAATGTGATTAATAAAAAAAAAAAAAATTTTTTTATATCTGTTTTTCCCCCTCCAAAACATCAAGAATTATTTATTTCTATGTCACACACACAGATGTTAATTTCTATAATTTCTCTCTCTCTCGAATACATATAATAGTAAAAATGCAGTCTTGTTTTATATAAATGATAATATATAAATTATATATATATAGTATTACATTTAAAAAATGCAGCTAATAATATAGTTGTAAAAGGCCTTATATTGACACAATCATAAATAATTGGGATTTGCATTTCATATTTGAATAACACAATTATCATTCATTCTGATTTTACATTTTCTGATGATATGATAATATCCCTTTAAAATGCTGGACAGTTGCAATCTCATCAAACAACCAATAGATGGAGTTAAAGATACTAAAACTGTTGTTTCTGAACACTGAAATAATAATATAATAATAATGCAATATTATTGTACCTAGTTGAATACATTGGTTTGAAGTATATTTCAAAAATGTATTTAAATGATTTAAAAATTCTAAATTGGTTACAATCAGGTACACTAGCTGAAAAAGAAAAAGAAAATGCCCTGTCTTGGATAAGTGTTTTGTTATAAACAAATACACACATTTCTGAGCAGCGCTCAGGAAGTCTTGAATCAAAGAAAAAGACCAAATATTTACTCTGTGCTGCGTCACAGCCTCCATCACCATGGAAACCAGCTCAGAAAGCTTTCATAATATCATGTGACTCGTGGGTCACATGACAGTCCCACCCTGCATGTATATTTTCATAAACCTTTACTGAGAAGTCAAATTTCTGTGTAGTCTGCCTGTCTGAGGCACTAATTATGACATGGACATATGGCGCAAGCGATTCATCTTCATACAGTATTTTAGTTGCTCGAAAGCATCTGGTGGTTTAAATGACATGAAATGAGGTTTGAGAGAAAAGCCCTGCGCTCTCGACATAATTCACAAAAGTAAATACAACATGTTGATTCAAACCTAAAACCAACTTAAAGGAGGAATCATTTTCTCCATGAGCTTGTGGTTTGAATCACCGTAATTGGTTGCATGATTTGACGAGACATGTTTATAACATCTGGTTATTTTGAAAATACTTCAGACAATTAAAAATACCTAATTACAACTCTCCCATTGGGAATCCATGTAAAGTTCATACAAACTGCCAGAATGAACGGAAAAAGAAGGACAGTTAAAGCCAAATGTATACTTTGGTGTCATTTTTTAACTTAAAATATATATTAAACAATCAGTTCAAAATTATGCTATGGAAATATAAGTTCAGGGGTTTTGGCCAGTTCATTTGCATTTATTCATTTTAATGGCACTGTGAATTAAATGACTGAATAAAACAACGTTAAAATAAAAGTTACAATTACAAAAATAAATCTAGAAATAAATACAGAATATATATAGATATAATTGAATAAAACAATGGTAAAAGTGATCAATATATTATGTGTGTGTGTGTGTGTGTGTGTGTGTGTATACATATACACACACATACACTAAAAAAATATATATATATATACAGTGGTGTGAAAAAGTGTTGGCCCCCTTCCTGATTTCTTATTTTTTTGCATGTTTGTCACACTTTAATGTTTCAGATCATCAAACAAATTTAAATATTAGTCAAAGATAACACAAGTAAACACAAACAAATGTTACAAAAGATTTCTATTTCAGATAAATAGTGTTCATATCGATATCGGAATTATATCGTATCGACCGAAATTAAGAAATATATCGTGATATCAATTTTGGCCATATCGTCCAGCCCTAAAATAATATTAAAAAATAAATTATAAATAAAAGTTGCAGTCTTAATTCTGGAATTACAGTACGTCAATAAAATGAGCAACTGTTCAAATTTCAATGGATAACAGATTTAATAGTCAGCTGTAAATACGAAAACAATTATTCTATACAGTAAATGGAAATACATTTTCAAATTGTTTTTCAAAAAACAATACATAACTTTCTGAAGGTTATTCTAATAATATCAGATGCCATTTTAAAATAAATGGGCAGTGTTTCTATTTCATTTCTGAACAGCACACAACAATGATTTATTTTTATTTAACATTTTCTGATAAATGACTGACAGGAGTCACAGGACACAGTCCAGAACATTAATATATTAATATGGGTGCTGATCACATTGAGACCTCATGGTCTTACCCTCTGACACTGGGACGAACTCTATTTCATTTGTAA